GCTCGTCTGTTCTCTGCCCTCTCCCCCTCACCCAGCCACACTGGCTCCTTCTGTCCTCCCAACACGCCGGGCAAATTCCTGTCTCAGTGGCTTTGCACTTGCTGTTTTGCTTGCCTGGGACAGTGTTTTCCCCAAGGCTTCTCGGGGTTTTGCAGGCTTTACTCCAGTGTCACCTCCTCAGGGAGGCCTCCCCAGACTACCCTGTGTAAATCAGCGCCTGCGCCCTTCTCCATCCCGGGCCCTTTTTTCTTTCTTTAATCACAGCGCATCCCACTACTTAACGTTAACTTGTTTGCTCCTTCCTTCCTGTTCTCCCTCTTTTCCTGTTTCTCCTCTTCTCTCTTTTCTCCTCTTTTCCTCTCTCACGTGTCTCCCTCACTAGGCTGTAAGCACTACGTTTCCATGCTGTCTGTTCACTCCCTTCCCCCCAAGGCCCACCATCGCGGCTGGCATGCAGTAGGTGCTCAATCAATGTCTGCTGAATTAATTGCACACATTTAATACACAAATACACAGTTTTTCACTGAGGCCACCCTAGCCCTCTCTCTCTCCTAGACCACATTTCCAGATTCCTTCATGTTCTGTGACCAAACCCTCCTTGTTCTACGAGCAAGATTCTGAGGGAGGCGGGGGTGGGGCACAGGGAGCAGCCTACACCCTCTGACTTCCCACCAGGCCACGGGCCCCAACCACATCTAGCTACATTTCCAAACGAGATTTCCAGTTTCCTGGCATGGATTCCCTGCACCGGACACCCAGGTAACGTTTTTATTTTTCTATCAGACTGAGCTCAATTTCGAGCCTCTCTGACCCACCTCTAGCGGGTGATATGGCCACAGAGGCCATCCCTCCTGCCCTATCCTAGCGATGCCAGCTCTTTGAACCTGGTGTCTAGTTTCTGAACTCACAGCTGTTGGGGATTCCCAGCCAACATCTCCTAAAAGCCCCCTCCACCCTCTGTATCCAGTAGCCACAGGGAACTTTTAAAAATATAAATCAGATCCACCACTCCGCTGCTTTTAAGTATCTCCCCAACTGCTCTCCCTTCATCACACTTATTCAACGTCCTCACAGTAGCCCCTAAGGCCCTCCAAGATCTAGTCATTGCCAAACCCTCACCTCAGCTCCCATCACTCCCTAACTACAGCTCCAGGATGGTCTTCTGTTCCTGCCTCAGGGCTTTTGCACTTGCTGCTCACAGCCGGGAACTCTCTTTCTCCAGCTTTCCTACAGCTGATTCCTCCTCATGCTCCGGGCTTCAGCCTAAATGCCACCAAAATCAGAAAGACCCACTCTGACCACTCCATCTCAAGGTGCTGCCCCCGGGCCCCCCTATTATATGTCCCTCTTTTATTTCTTCTATAGCATTCACTCCATCTGAACTTACCAGATTTAACTATTACTTGTTTCCTCCTGAGAACAGGGATCATGCCTGGATCACTCACCATTAAATCTCTATCACCCAGAAGAAGGCTTGCCACAGAGTAGTAGCAATGGATAAATACGCTTGGTGAACGATTAGACACTTACAGCTTCTCCAAGAGGCCATCCTCCCTGCTCCACAACTTCCTACCTCAGAGCCTTTATTCCTGCAGTTATCTCTCTGGGTATTCCCTTTCCCTCGTTAAACCCCAACTCATCCTTGGGTCTTCCTCAAACGCTACCTCCTCATGGAAACCATGTCTTAAAAAGCTCCTGCAGCATCCAATTCTTGACAAACACAATTCTCATCATGTCTTGTAATTATACAATTATATTATATTATATTGTTATCTGTGTAAGTTGTCATTGAGACCTGTAAGTTCTCTCAGGGCAAAGACTGGGTCTGTGTGGCTCCATGCTTTGCTCCAAGCTCCTAGCATAGAGCCAGGTCCATGACAGGCTTTCAGTAAATGTTTGTTGAATGACTAAATGATTGAATGATGTGTCATGAATCAAAGATTAGGATTATTCCAATTCCATTCTCCAAGGGATGAATGAATAAATTAATGAAGGGGGGGTCCAAGGGCCAAGACTCTCCTGGACCACTTTCAAAGCCCCCAGAATCACCAGCAGAGCTCAGCCCAACCTCCCTGGCCACCCAAGGCTCCAGACCAAATTGCAGGGTGGGGAGGGTAGTTACCGTAGTCCTTGGGGAGGGGGGCAGGTGCCGAGGGGTGCACAACAGGCTTTTGCCGGCGCTCCTGGGTGGGGCTGGGGGCCTCGGGGACCAGCTCCTCCTCCTCCTCCTCTTCTTCTTCCTCCCCCCGGAGTGGAGGGGCCATCGGAGCGGGATCTGTCTTAGTCATAGTCTTCAATGGCCCTCCGGGGGGGTGGGTGCAGAGTTGGGGGCGGCTTTCAGGCAAATCCTGGAGACAGCGGTCAGTTAGAGAGAGCGCCTCACAGGGTCCAGGGTCTAAGCCCCCAGAAGCTCCAAGGCCCCCAGTGGCTCCCACGCCCCCAGTTCTAGATTTTGGGCAATCACAGCGACGACCATTACCCCTCAGAGGACCCTGGTATGTGGGCCCAGCGCCTAGCACTTCCCCCAGGTCCAGCCCCCCATTCTTCTCCTCCGGCTTCAGGCTCCTCAGTCTAGGCCGCCCCCTCCCCGGGTTTGTTTATCTCGGGAGGCAGGATGCTTCGCCCCTCCCCTTCTCCGTGGGCCTCAACTCTACCCATCTTACCTGGGGCGGATGGGGCTGGAGACCAAAGCTGAGACTGGGGAGACTGGAGTAATGGGGTGTCGGTGTCCAGAGAAGTGATGGGGGAGGAGAAGGCGACAGAAGGGGACGAGGCCCGGACGCCAACAGGGGATGGGGGTGGAGAGGGAGGGGCGCGGACGGCGCATGCGCAATGTTACCCCCAACCAGGCGCGGGGGCGGAGATACTGGGAGGCTCCTCGCTTTGATGAAAAGACTTGAGGCAGCGTCGGGAAGGGGAGAGACACGGAGGATGGGGAGAGAAAGAAGAGATGGTCACGAAAAAGGATGTGAGACATCAAAACAGAGAGAGATGAAGCAGAGACAAGGGCAAAAGGAGAGGGATGGGAAAGCGGGCCCAGTTCTTTTTTGTGCATACCCCTGGGATGCAGGCTTCCCGCAGGCCCGCAAACCAGGCCAGTTAGGGCAGGGGTCTTGGTGTGGTGGTGGTGATGTTTTCTCTCTCTCAGGTCTCAGACCTAACCCCTTCTCCATGCTCACCGTATACAAAGGGTGTCTCAGAGGGATGATTTTATAGACTCCTTTCATCCTCTTCGGTCATCAGTCATCGTGGTTATCACAGAGGGCTACAGAGCACTTATCAGGCTCAGAGAGGTTAAGCCACTTGCCCAAGGGCACACAGCAAATAGGTGATGGAGCTAAGACTTGAAACCAGACAGCCTGGCTGGAGAGTCTGGGTTTTTAATCACCATGCTACATGGCTGTAGCAGTGTCTAGGAGAAGAGCTGCCAACGAACCTCTCCAAACCTGAATATCCCCCAAGAAGACCCGGAGCCAGCCCAGGGTGGGCCAGGCCTTCCTGGCTCCTTCATCCTGGTTTGGCTGTCATGCCTGCCTGGCTGTGGCCTGCACTGCCCACAACCCCAGCCCAAAGAGGACTGGGTGACTTTGCCTTCCACCCTTCATCCTTCTAATGGTCAGGGCTGGTAAGTTCCATCTCCAAAGTATTCCTTCCAGAATTTCGTCCCTCACCCCCTCACCCCACACCCAGGCCCTCATCCTGGTGCTTCTGTCACCCTCTCCCACCTGGACTGTGACAGCAGCCTCCTCCCTGTTCTCCCTCCTCGTCCCTTACCCCACAACTTGCTCCCTATAATGCAGCCACAGGGACCTAACACATCCCCCATCAGGGCCCTCCTCGACGCGAAGACATCTGCTTGCTGCACCTCATTCTAGATTAAAAACTAATGTTCTCAACTGCAGCCCCCAAGGCCCTAGGTGAAATTTCCCCCATCATCTCTCCAACGTCTCATCCTCTCACTCTCCCCCGAATCTACTGCACTACACTGGCTTCCTTTTCTCCTCCTCAGTGCAGGACCTTTGCACTGACCGTTCTGCCCAGAATGCTCCTCCCCCAGACACTTGGTTCCCCCTCTCCCCTCGTTTGGGATTTTACTTATTGGCACCTTTTCAGTGAGACCTTCTCTGCTCTAAAATTGCACCCCCCCCACATACTCTCCCTCCCCTGCTTCAGTCTTTGTCATAGCAACACTGCCTTCCTCCAGCTGACCCCCTGGATGTTGGGCATTTCCAGGGGCTGTTCTTCTCCCTGGAGCATCCAGCACGTACGCCTCCATACCAGGTCTTCTCATCCAGGTGTCTGCTCAAATGCTGTCTCCTTAGAGAGTCCTCTCCATCCATCCAGCTGCCACCCCCACCCCATTACATTTTCATTTAGTCTTTACAGCGCTTATCACAATCTGAAATTAATCTTGTTTATTAGTTTACTAGTTTGACTTCCACTCAAGCAGAATAGGAGTACTATGAGGGCAGGATTTTATTGGCTGTGTTCACTGCTGTATACCCAGCTCAACACCATACTTGGCAAAGGGTATGAGGGGCTCTTCAGAACCAGGTACTATTCTCCCCAAATAAGCAATCCTTGTTCTGCTTCGAGACTGTTTTGCTGACCGCGCGAAGTGTCAAGCTAGGGGTAGCAGGAACCTGGCACCAAAGGGAATAAGGATTGATGGGGCTTGGGCCCAGGTCAGCCCCAAGGTTCAAGGGGTCCGTAGAAGGGGGTGCTTGGAGCCAGGCCCTTGAGGGAGGTGCTACAATGGCCCAGGCATGGGTGGTGGGGCTAGGCAGGCCCATGTATGAGGACTATCTCTTCCTTTTTTTTTTTTTTAATTATTTATTTGACAGAGAGAGACACAGTGAGAGAGAGAACACAAGCAGGGCGAGTGGGAGAGGGAGAAGCAGGCCTCTCGCTGAGCAGGGAGCCCGATGTGGGGCTCGATCCCAGGACCCCGGGACCATGACCTGAGCCGAAGGCAGCCGCCTACCGACTGAGCCAGCCAGGCGCCCCTCTTCATTTTCCGTCATCTGTCCCACAACATTATCTGCCCTGGTCCTTACGCACTGGGGGTCTCAGTGTCCAGGAGCTCAGGCTTGGCATCCAGTGTGGGAGGTGCAGGACTCTGGGCAATGACCACAGCTATGTCAGGCCCTCCACAGATGATGGGATTCCTCCGGTCCAGGGAGCCGGGCAGTCCCAGACAAAGAAGTGATAGAGATGGAGAACATAGGGGAAAGAGGGGAGGGCAGGAGAAAGGGCAGAGAGGACGGCGGGAGAAATGATGAACAGGGAGGCCAAGGTGGGGGGGGGGGATACCAGGGAACACAGAGATGTGGGCAGAGAGATTTGTGGGGAGACGAGAAGAGATGTGAGGCCAGAGAGACATTCGTGCGGGGAATAAAGAAGTATGGGGACAGAGGAAAATGTGGGGGCCATGGAGAGACAGATACTCTGTCTGTCTCCTATCTCCATAGGCCAAACACAGAGGAAGACAGAGAGGGACAGGGATATGAGGGACACAGAAAGAGGCAGGGGGCACCTGGGTGGCTCAGATGGTTAAGCGTCTGCCTTCGGCTCAGGTCATGATCCCGGGGTCCTGGGCTCGACCCCCGCATCAGGCTCCCTGCTAGGCAGGGAGCCTGCTTCTCCCTCTGCCTCTGCCTCTCTCTCTCTCTGACTCTCATGAATAAATAAATAAAACATTTTAATAAAAAAAAAAGGCAGGTGAAGAGAGCAGTGGGGAAACGGGGAGACAGACAGGAGGACGGAGATGGGGCAGCAGCAACATAAAGATGAATGTGGGAAGAGAGAAGGACATGGAAAAATAGGATTGAATGGGGGCAGCGGAGGCAGAGAGACACTGTCAGCCCAGGGGCCCTGGCAGCCTTCATGAAGAGTCCCAGGCCTGAGTTGGAGCTCTGTCCCTGCTCTTCTGTATGTCCCCCTTATGCCCCAGCATGGTCAGGTCATAGTCTCAAACACAGAGCGTCCAGGGGCAGTCACATTGCAGTTCCAGCTGACTGATGCTAGCCGCGAATACGAGCCCAGTGCTGCTACATCTGCTGAGCCTTCAGGAAAGACCAAAAATTGTTTCAAAACACTGTTGTTGAGGCCAGAAAAAATCTGTGAGCCATCCAACCCACTGGCTGTCAGGCTGAGACACCTTAGCTACAGGGCTACTTTGGGGGGCTCCTTTTTTTTTTTTAAAGACCCTTTTCTTTTTTTAAGATTTTATTTATTTGAGAGAGAGACACACAGAGAGAGAGAGAAAACATGAATGGGGTGAGGGGCAGAAGGAGAAGCAGGGTCCCTGCTGAGCAGGGAGTCCACTGAGGGGCTCGATCCTGAGACTGCGGGATCATGACCTGAGCCGAAGGCGGATGCTTAACCCACTGAACCACCCAGGCATCCCAGAGGGGCTCCTTTCTGAAACCCCTTCCCACTTCTCTTGTTCAGCCAGGGCTGAGAGCCCTGGGACCTCAAACTTGGCTCTGGGGCTTTTAAGCAGGGAAAAGCCCTGGTCAAACTGATTCTTCAAGACCGGATACCCTCCTCCAATAGTCAGTAGTAAGATATAGGAGCAAAAGGGCCTTTAGATGGGGTCGGGGAGACTCTAGGAGATAGGTTGCAAACTCAAGCTCTTTTAGGAGCCGGGCAAGGAGCTCTCCCAACAGGAGAGGACTAGCCTCCTGTGCAGTCAGACACCTGGCTTGAATCCTCGTTCTGCAGCTTCCTGGCTGCCTGACTTTGGGCAAGTGACTGTAGCATCCTGGCGCCTGTTTTTTCATCTGAAAAATGGGGACCAGAGCCGCATCAAGGTCATAGTGAGTTTTCAGTAAGTTATTAACGCTGCCTGGCAGAGAGTAAAGGCTCCTTAAATATTATTAATAAATAGAGCAGCCATTACCCTGCTCTGACCAATAGTTGGTAGGTGTTGCCAGATGGACTCTTTTCAAGACAAGCCAGAAACTTGGAAACATGAGTGAAATGTTCTTTTAAATACTGGACTCTAGTTTAAACGAAAATACATATGGGGGCGCCTGGCTGGCTCAGTCGTTAAGCGTCTGCCTTCGGCTCAGGTCACGGTCCTGGGGTCCTGGGATGGAGCCCCGAATCGGGCTCCCTGCTCAGCAGGGAGTCTGTTTCTCCCTCTCCCACTCCCCCTGCTTGTATTCCCTCTCTCGTCTCTCTGTCAAAAAATAAATAAAATCTTTAAAAAAAAGAAAAGAAAAGAAAATACATATGCTACGGGGGCTAGGTGGCCCCACTCACCAGGCACAGCATGCCCCGGTGCCCCTGGGTGGCAGGCCCTCCTTGCACACCTGCTGCCCCAGCTGCTCTATAGCCCACAGCTGCCCCTGGGGCTGCTCCTGGCGCCCCTGCAGTCTCCGCACCCGCCGCTGCAGCGCTCCCAGTACTGTGCCCAGCCTGGCCAGGGGTTGCTGGGCCTGGACTCCAGGCTGTGGGCCCGGCAGGAGCAGGGGGCAGGGGGGGGTCAGGAACACGGCGGTCGTGGCCTCAGGGCCTCCGGATGCTGACCCCAGTACCACGATGTGCACGGGGGCCCAGGGGCCACACAGCTGGTCCTGGGGATAGGGGCGCGGCCTCCGGTGGGGAGGGAGGCACGCCTGCCTTCTCAGTGCTTCGGGAACTCTGCTGCCTCTGGAAGACGAGGCATGGGATTGGGAGTGGGCGGGGGGGGGGCATCAGGGCCAGACTCCGAGGGGTACTGCCCTCAGATAAGGCCAGACCTCAAGGAGGAACTTCCCTCAGGAAGGGAGGGCTGGGGATCAGGCTGCAGGAGGGACTTCCCTCAGGAGAGGAGGGCTGGGGATCAGACTCCACGGGTCATTTCCGGGGGGGGGGGAAGACTGGGGGTCAGACTCCAGCAGCAGGACCTCCTTTTGCTCACCTTAGCAGGGGGCGCCAGGGAGAAAATGGACAGCACTGCATCAGCCCACAGGTAGCGCACACCCCAGCTCCACTGGACGCAGGACGGTGGGAAGTGCTCACTGCACAGGTGCTGGTGGCAGCTGGGCACCCAGTCCTCATGGCCCATGTGCCGCAGCCAATCCCTGATCTCATGACCTGAGCGGGTTCAGTGGGAACCAGCCAGGGACCGTGGGGTTACGGTGTCAGCAATATCAGGTGCAGTCCCAGCCCTCTCCGAGGACATGCACACCCAGAGATCCCTGGGCTCCAAACCTCGGTCTCCCCAGGCCAGAAGCTGGCCCTGCCTCCTACCCAGGCTCTCTCTACCACCAAACCGCATCCCCCACTTCAGCTCCACCTTTTAAACACCCAACATCAGCCCACCTCTCCCACCTCTGCTGCCCCTCCCATCCAGCCTTCATCCCCTCCTGGCTGGACTTTTGCAGCAGCCTCCTTCCTGATCTCCCCACCCGTGGCCACTCTGTCCTCCCCCACAATCTGTTCCTCCACATGAGCCTGAGAGAGCAGTTTATAAAACTGGACAAATCTAGAATGTGTCCACATTCGTGTGGGCGGGGGTGGGGTGGGGTGGGGTGATAGATTAAAAGAGATTTAAGAAACATCCAATTGCAGGTTGTGGAGCTCGTCTGCAACAAATCATTCCATAAAAAGACATCTTAACACAGTTGGGGAAAACTGAACATGAATGGGGTATTGGATAGTTGTAAGAAATTAATTTTGCTAGGTATGATAATTGCATTGGTTTATGCTTCTAAAATAGTCATCTGTTGGAAAAACATTCTGAAATATTTATAGGTAAAAGTAGTAACATCTGGGATTTACTTTAAAATCATGCATTAAAGGTGTAAGTGGGTGGGGAAAGACGGAAAAGATTAGCAAAATGTTGACAACTGGTGAATCTGAGTGACAGATGCATGACAATCCATTCATATAACTCTATTTTTTGTGTATGCTTGAAAACACCTGTTAAAAGGTTTTTAAACAACTCAACAACAAAAATTAACCCCATTAAAAATGGGCAAAAGACTTGAACAGGTATTTCTCCAAAGAAGATATACAGATGGGCAACAAGCATATGGAAAGATGCTCAATACCACTAATCATTAGGGAAATGCAATTCAAAACCATCAGATATCACCTCATAACCATCAGAATGGGTACTACAAAAAAATCAAAACGGGGGGGGGGGCGCCTGGGTGGCTGTCGGTTAAGCATCTTCAGCTCAGGTTATGATCTCCGGGTCCTGGGATTGGGCTCCATACTCAGCAGGGAGTCTGCTTGTCCCTCACCCTCTCCACCCCTGCCTGTGCTCACACACTCTCTCTAATAAATAAAATCTTAAAAAAAAATAGTAAAAACTGAGGGGCCCCTGGGTGGCGCAGTCGGTTAAGTGTCCGACTCTTGGTTTCTGCTCAGGTCATGATCTCAGGGTCACGAAATCAAGCCCCACGTTGGGTTCTGAGCTTAGTGAGGAGTCTGCTAAAAGTTTCTCTCTCCCTCTCCCGCCCCTCTTTGCACTCGTGTGTGTGTGACCTCTCTCTCTCTCTCAAATAAATAAATCTTTTTAAAAAATAAATAAAAATCAAAACAAGTGCTAGTGAGGATATGCAGAAACTGGAATCCTGTGTGCTGCTGGTGGGAAATGTAACATGGTGCAGCCACTATGGAAAACAGTATGGTACCTCCTCAAAAAAAGTAAAAATAGAATTACCATATGATCCAGCAATTCTGCTTCTAGGTATATACCTAAAAGTATCGTTAAGTGGGGTCTCGAAGAGATATTTGCACACTCATGTTCCTAACAGCATTATTCACAATAGCCAAAAGCTAGAAGAAACCCAATATCCATCAATGGATGAATGGATAAAGAAAATGTGGTACATGCATACAACAGAATATTATTCTTAAAAAGGAAAATTTTTTTTTTTTTTAAGATTTTATTTGACAGAGAGAGACACAGCGAAAGAGGGAACACCAGCAGGGGGAATGGGAGAGGGAGAAGCAAGCTTCCTGATGCAGGGCTCGATCCCAGGACCCTGGGACCATGACCTGAGTCGAAGGCAGACACTTAACGACTGAGCCACCCAGGTGCCCCTAAAAAGGAAATTCTGACACATGCTATATAATATGGTGAGCCTTGAGGACATTACAGTAAGTGAAATAAGCCAGTCACACACACAAAATATATGAGGTATCTAGAGTAGTCAAATTCATAGAAAAAGAAATAGAACAGTGGTTTCCAGGGGCTGGGGGGAGTAGGAAATTGGGATCTGTTGTTCAACAGGTATAGAGTTTCAGTTTTGCAAGATGACAAGGTTCTGAAGACTGATTGCACAATAACGAGAATATCCTTAATATTACTGAGCTGTATATTAAAAAATGGCTATGATGGTAGATTTTATATGTATTTGACAATTAAAAATACAAATTAAAAATTAAAGCTTAAAAAATGAACTAAATAAAAGCTTTCCCTGTGGGAGTGGGTGGATATTATCTGAGACTCAAGACTGTCCAAGATGAAGATCCCTTTTTCCAGCTTCATATGCAGCCAGGGGTGGCCACATAATTGAGTTCTGGCCAGTCTGTCCTGTGGCAGCTGTCAGCACCTGTGACACATTAAATGTTTATTTTAAGCAGTTAAATTTTGAGATAGTTTGTTATGTGGCATTAGATAACCAAATAGTCAGTCATTCACATTCCACCTGCGCAATACCTTCCATATCTGTCACATTATTTAATATTTTTCTTAAAATTGACCAACTTTAAAAATGAAACAAAGATACCTCAAAGAGAAACTTTATACCACAACTGAAAATGGAAGACCAGTATCAATTCCATGAACAGAAGTTGACCAGAAATATAGCTGGATACCTTCATCTGCTGCGGGCTCCGAGGCCCTCTCTCTCTTTGTCAAAAGGGCAGACTCAGGGGTGATAGAGAGTGGGGGACACCACCATCTATAGGAGACAAGGTAACAAATTCAGGCACATGCACACAAAGGAATACCACACAAGCCTAAAACAGAATGTGGAGGCGCTCTATGCACTCACATGCTATTTTCAGGCATATACATTCCGTGAAAAGAGCAAAGTTCTAAACAGAGTATATCTGCTTTTAGTAATTGTGGCAGGCTCGGTAACAGCCCCCAAAAGATATCCATGTTCTAATCCCTGGAACCTGTGAATACTACGTTGCACGACCAAAGATGTGATTAAGTTAAGGCTCCTGAGGAAGTCATCCTAGATCGTTCATTTGGGCCCAACATGCAATCGCAAGGGTCCTTGTAAGAGGGACGAGCGGATATTACACCAGATGAAAGAGAAGGTGATGTGACCACAAAGGCAGAGGTTGGAGTGACGTGGCCACCAGAAATCGGAAGAGGCAAGAAACGGATTCTCTCCTACAGCCAGCCTTGCTGGGAGGGCAACCCTGCCAACACCTTGATTCTGGCCCAGTAAAACTGACTTGCACTTCTGGTCCCCAGAACTGTGAGAGGATAATTTCTGCTGTTTTAAGCCATCAAATTTGTTTCAGTATCCGCAGGAAACCAATACAGTGATAAAGGGGGAAATTAGGACACGTTTTCAGATTTGCTTGTATTTGCATAAAGAAACTGGAAGAGACACATTAGAAAGGAGGTGGGCAGGATGAACAGAGATGGGCATGGGGGCAAGACTTCCCAGCCAAAGGGCCGACGGACGGGGCGGCTGGGGGTGGGGGTGCAGCTGCTCAAAGAGGACAGAGGGGCTGACTCAGAATCTGAGCTGTGGCGCCCAAAGAGCAGAACCCCAGGGCACCCAGCCAGGACCTCTGGTGGCCACAGTCCTTTTCGCCATTGTTTGGGATGCAAATCCTCCCATCAAGCCCATTCTGCCTGGACACGCACAAGACATCTCTTGCAGCAGCCTTCCCCGCCCCCTCCTCCTTGGCAGAGACTGACAAGTGACTACTCCACACCTCCTTTTCTTCTTCCTTACTAACAAAACTCCAACTTTAGTTGAGGTCAGCATGTGCTGTGCTGAAAGACTATGTTTCCCAGGTTCCTTTATGTAGGTGGGGCCGTGTTCCGGCCAGTGAATGCTTTCGTGTTGTGTGAGAAATCTGGGATGGCACCTTAAATGCGAAGGGTCCTCAAATGGATCAGGACAGTTCAAGGGGCAAAGGAGGAAAGTATCATGAAAACCGTCCTCCTCACTTGGTCTTTTTCTTACTCTCCTTTGTTCCTCTGGATAGCAACACTTTTATAATGGGCAATCTAAAAATCCACTTTAGGGGCACCTGGGTGGCTCAGTCAGTTAAGCATCTGCCTTTGGCTCAGGTCATGATCCCAGGGTCCTGGGATCAAGCCCCAGATCAGGCTCCCTGCTCTGTGGGGAGCCTGCTTCTCCCTCTCCCTCTACTGCTCCCCCTGCCTGTGTTCTCTTGCTCCCTCTGTCAAATAAATAAATACATCTTTTAAAAAATAAAAATAAAATCTACTTCAAGTGGACAGCCAGTGCCCTCCTTTTCTATAGAATAGTGTAGTCTCGTTGGTCATCTTTCTAGATCATGTAGTGGCATACACTGCTAGAAGTCCTTCTTTTAAAAAAAAAAAAAGTTAAAATCAATTCAAAATGTCTGCAGGGTGGTTAAATGCCCAGCTAAATTACTACATTTCCTAGTCTTCTTTGTAGTTGGGGGTGACCAATGATGAAGAACTCACCATTGGGTGGGGTTTCTGGGAAGGCTTTATAAAGGGGGCTAACTCAGTTCACAGTTGGAGCCCCTTTTGCTCTTCCTTCTCTTTTCTTCTTACCAGGTGATGATGGCTGGGGCACCTGGCGGCCATCTTGCACGGAAGCCGCATGCTAAGGATGACAGCACAGAAAGATAGGAACCTCAGCCCTAACGATTGTGGACCTGCCACACAAGTGCTGGCCTGTCAACCTCTGTATTTGTTTTATTTGAGAGAAAAATAAACCCTTGGTGGATTCTATTATTGTTCAAAATATTTGCTGCCCTTCTCCACATGAGGATTACATCTCTCTACTGCAGTGACCTGAGGCTTGACATAGACTTGCTTTGGCCAAAAAGGACTGACAGTGACATGGGCCACTTCTAAATATAGCATTTATGAGGAGACATTGGGTGATTCTTCCTACTTTCTCTTTTCCCCCTCCTACAAGACCAGCAATATTCTACACAGGGGAGGCTCCTTTGGCCTGAGTCCCAGGTTAGGATATTGCAGAGTAGGTCCACAAATGGTCTGCAAAGGACATAGTGTGAATGAGAAATAAACCTTTGTTATAGTAAGAGATTTTGTGTCTGTTTTTGCAGCATAACTTAACCACGCTGTACCCTATCACCTCCCTAATTATTTTTAAGTCAATAATATTTCACAACTTTCTTACTGCCACCCAAATACAATTCCTAACTCATAGGCTTCCCATTAGAGATGACTCTCATATGTTCCGAAAGGGCTGAAAACAGAACTAATGAATGTTTCCTCTGGCTGCCTGGCAGGCTCTTATGTTATTCCCTGGCAGCCACTTCCTTCGATAGGTTTCACCTTGTTCCTTCCTGCCATCCATGCCTTCTCCTGAATCTCCTTAGGAAACAGCTCCTCACCAAACTCTTAACCATGTGACTTCTGCAAGACTGACTCGGCTGTGAGCCTTGAGGTGGAAATGGGCAGCCATTGATGAGATTTAAACATAGACATGAACTGATTTTTATAAAGTCATCTGGTTGCTCTGTACAATTGTCATTGTTCTCCTCGTTATTATATGTGAAGCACTTAGAACAGTGCCTAGCATACAATAAGTGCTCTCCAAATAAGTTATTGTTGTTCTTGTAAGGGACGCAGAAGTATAGGCAGGGAGGCCAGCAAGCAGCCATCTCAATGTCTCATTAACGGAGGATGGCGGCCTGAACTAACTGTGAGAGCAGAGGTCATGAGAAGTGATCAGGATGGAGATGTAGGGGTTTTCTGTTATTTCCTAATAGTTCAGTTAGGATATTCCCATTTGCATTTATAACTGTTGCCAAGGTATTAGGGGTTTTGTTGTGACTGATGCAGGGTAGGGATGTGTTTGGAGGGTAAGTCAAAGGATGGGTTGATGGACTGGACGGGGGACAGCAGTGCTGAAGAAAGGATGGGGAGTTACTCCCAGGGTTGGGTGTTCAGTTCTTCAATGTTGGACCCTTCACCTATCCAAGAGCTCTGTCCGGACAGGAACAAGATCTGTCAGGGTCCTCTGTGTCCAGCAGGGGCTTCCTTACTCCAGGAGACACTGAGAGTTGCTGAATTAATAAACAGTACCAGAGTGACATATCTAAAAAAGCGATTCTGGACACGCTGATTTAGTTTTAAAGACCCCTCTGCGTTACTCCTACTCTGCACCAGGGTCCCTCAAGGGACACGGATTGCTGGGTTTCCTGGGGGAGGCCATCTGAAATGCATTAATGAAATTCATCCAACAAATATTTACTGATTACCCACTATGTGCCAGGCACTGTTTGAGGGCTGGGGAAATAACAGAGAACAAGACAGAGAAAAATCTCTGCCTTCATGGAGCTGACATTCTAGCGGGGGAGTCAATAAATGAATACATCAAATATGTGATATGCCAGATAGTGATAAGCATTAAAAGGAAAAAATAAAGCAGGAGAGAGTTATCATTTTACCTAGAGTGGTGACCATAAAGGTAAGACCTTTCCAGGCAGAAGGGAAAGCACAAGCAAAGTCCCTGGGGCAACAGTGTGCCTGGCATGCTAGGGGAACACAGAGTTGCCAGTGACACTACAGCATAGTGGTAAGGTGCAGGAGGAAGGAAATGAGGTCATACAGATATTGGGGATCCAGCTCCTGTAGCGTTTTGTAGGGCTTTCTGTCTGCTCCAGTCTCACCATTTTGTCTTTTCTAGAGCGAGGTGGGAGCCAGGGGAGGATCTGAACAGAGGAAGACTCTGATCTGACTCAGGAGTACACAGGTTCCCTGTGACTATGTGTGGGGATCAGAGTGTGGGTGTGGGTTGACCGCCGAAGAGGCTACTAAAATAGTGCAGTCAGGAGATGGCAATGGCCAGAACCAGAATGCAGACAGAGAAGAGGGTCAGAAGTGGTCAGTTCTGGATATATTTTAAAGGGAGAGCCAACAGGATCTGCTGATGGACTGGATGAGGAATGCGTCCTGGCCCATTTAGACTAAGGCCACCAGGGACACACCTGTAGTCCAACAGAGTCCTAGGTTCATTTACCATGGCAATGAGGGAAACTGCACACTGGAGGTACTATGAGGAGTCTCACCCAACAAAGGAAAAGACAGGTTATTATTTGGATTTGAGAGAAGGGTGAATTTTAGGTGAAATGTAAATGGAATTGTTTGGGTAAGCAGAACTGTGTGGATAGATATCAGATCTGGATTGTGAAGTGAGTCCAGGGTCCTGTCTCCTTGAAAGCAATAAAGTTTAGGTAGATGTGGAAAACTGTGTCCAGAAATGCCTTACCTGAAGCTCTGCACCTGGACAGAAGTAACTGGGGTTGCTTCTCAGTGTCAAAATGACAACTCCTCCAGACATTAAGTGAGATGTTTCATTTTTACTGCTGTAACTCCAAATGGCGAAGTTTAGGACAGCCTATGACTTTAGAGAACAAAGTTTCCTAGTAAAAAAGCAGCAGTCACTCAGACGGGATTTTTTTTTTTCACTTTACATCTGCAGCATGTCCCTGAGAAAAATGTAGAAATATTTTTCCCATTAACTCTTCACCCAGATTTTCCCGTGTCTTTTAGTCCAGCCGGGGAATAATAAATGGGAAGACAGATTTTTTTTTTAACAGTTCAAGCTAATTTTTACTTTCTCAAGTGCGAGGAAAGAAAAGAGGTAAGGTTAACTGTAAGGTTACCAGCCTGACAACAGGAAAGATGGAGGAAGCTCTTAACTGAAATAGGAAAGGTTGTGGAAGGTTTGGGAGGGAGACAAGATCAGGAGCTCAGTTTCGGATGTTTTCCGTTTGAGATATCTCAAATTCGTGGAAATAACGAGTGGGCAGTTTTAGGCTCCTCCCTCCACAGTCCCACTTCTCACGCTCGCCCCTTTCACTACCTGTAGTTAATAGTCTATCCCTGCGCTTTAACACAACTGCACCTTCGTATGTGCCGTATTTAGTGCAGAGAAGACCGTCTCTTCACCTTGCTAGCCTTACTTCTAGACACCTGCAAGCTGCCCAGGCGCCCCGCACAGGGGCAGTTACCCTCGGTCCCCGCCCCCAGAAGCCCCGCCCTGCGCTTGCGCTCACCTGTAGAAGCTCACAGGGAGGTTGTCAGCGCCCAGTCGGCCCGCAGTGTTGGAGCAGTTCGGAGCCCGGCAGTACTTGGGCATGGCTGTTCCACCCTGTTGAGTCCCGCCCAGTCTGCAGTCTCACTTTGGTTCTCGCCGAACGCCGCCGAACCCGGCCCCGCCCGCTCTCCGCCTGCCTCACGTGATGGGCCCTGGTGCTTCGTCACGTGCAGGGGAGGGGAGAGAGAGCGCCTGCGCGCTACGCGCCCAGCCGTGTTACCAGTTACACCCTGGTCACGTGACAAACGGGGAAAGGCGAGGCCTTCGGCGCAAAGCCTGTTCCTAGCCCTCCGGACCTTACCACGTGTTGGGGGAGAGGTGGAGTCACGGCTTTTCTGAGCCTGCGCCAAGTGGTCCGTCTCGTTCGGCTCCACCCTACGCTTACATCCGGGTGACTGCTATTGCGTGGGTAGTTGCTCGGGGATGGGGAGTGCAGTAAAAAGCGAACCTGAGGCTTTGGTCTTAGCTACCTAAAAGTTAAAACCTAAATGTCTGTTAATGGTAAAAAAACACAAACCGCATAAAAAACGCCACTTCTCTTGATCAGGCATCAAGTAAACTAGCTATGGCTCCACCCTGCCATATACTTCGCTCCGCCTCTCAGCCCTCATTGGTCAAAACCGCCTCCCGGCAGCCCTGACATTGGCCAGACGCGGACGGCCGCGTCCAATGGGCGGCGGCGGCGGCTTTTCCCGTGGCCGTTTGCTCTTCTAGCGGGTCGCGGAAGCGGCGGCGGCGGTTAAGGAGCGTAACGGTCGCCGGGCTCCGGCACGACGATGGCAGCCTTGGGGCCCGGAGGCTACGCGCGGAACGATGCAGTCGAGAAGCTGCCGTCCGTCACGGTGGGAGTTTCGGCGCGGAGGGGCCAGGGCTCTCCGCCCCCCGCTCCGCCGCTCTGTCTCCGGCGGCGGACACGACTCTCGGCGGCGCCGGAGGACACGGTGCAGAACCGGGTGAGGAGCTGTTTGCCCAGCCCACCCCAGGTTCAGGGTCCCTGGGCCTCCCCTCGTCCCGACCTTAGATCGTTGGCCCCGCCTATCAGCCCTCGGCTCAACCCCTCAGGCTCCTCTCTGGCCGGCTTCGTTTCAAGGTCCCGCCCCGTTAGCCAGGGCTCTTCCCACTCCCCCGTCTCCTCCTCTCTCGGGTAATGCCTAACATTCCTAGCCATTTCTCCCCTCGCTCCCAGTGTATTTTAGTTCTAATCACCATTGGCTCCCTCCTTCCTGCGTATCCCTTCAGTCACCTTTATTTTTTTTTTGAGATTTTATTTATTTATTTGACAGAGACAGTGAGAGCAGGAACACAAGCAGGGGGAGTGGGAGAGGGAGAAGCAGGCTTCCCGCTGAGCAGGGAGCCCGATGTGGGGCTCGATCCCAGGACCCTGGGATCATGACCTGAGCGGAAGGCAGCCGCTTAACAACGGAGCCACCCAGGCGCCCCTTCAGTCACCTTTAGATGTGTCTCTGGGCCCTTCCATTTTTGTTGACCTCTCTCTTCGCTGGATCTTTAGGGTATCTACCAGTGTTCAGTCCCCAGTCCTACCTACCTCGTCTGTCCCTCAGTTCACCTTCTCGCCTTACCTGCCTTCTCTTTCCTTCTCCCTTACCAGTGTGGAATTCATTACCTATTACCACCCCAAATTATGGAGACCATTTGAGTAATTGTAAAATCTCAGCAGCGCTTCCGGGGGCGGGGGGCGTACAGAACAGTTCCCTGAGTTCTTAGAGAAAGATTTTAGAGTAGGTAGAAAGAATTCCATTAGCACAGCAGCAGTTTAAAAAATTGTTCTCCAACTCTCTGAGCTACAAAGTCTGTTTTTATAAAATAGAAGTTACAATAACCATACCACGGAGTTGCAGGGAGCAGAAATGAAATTGTGACTATGACCTGCTTGGCAGAGTCCAGGTAGAGGGTGGAAACATGGTAGATGCTGGTGGATCTTGTTCCTGCCACAAGGATTCCTGCTGCACTCTGATTATATCACCCATTCCTGGCTGCAAGGCCTGGGCAAGTGGGCCCTGCCCACCTCTCTGGCCATACCTCCATTGTCCTCCCTTTTACCAATTTTCAGTCACCCTAGCCTGCTTTCTGTTTTCCTGAGGCTCCAGGCTCTTTACCACCTCCTAAGTGCTGAGTCCTCTGGGCTTTTCGCTGCAGTCCACCTGGCCGGCTCCTCATCCCTCAAATCTCAGCCTGAATATCCCTACCCTGAGAGGTCTTCTCGAACCCCAGCCTAAGACAGACATCTACTTTAATCTTTTACCTAGCCTCTTGTACTTCGTAGCCCTTATCTTGTATGTTCCTGAACGTGCCTTGTGAGCTCTAACCTGTGTATAAAATAAAGGAATAGCAATAGCAATTTCAGAGAGGCAGTAAACAATGTGGTTAACAGCCTCTGGACCCAGACTGCCTGGGCTTAAACCTTAATTCTGTTTTGTTTTGTTTTTAAGATTTTATTCATTTATTTTGAGAGAGTGGGAGAAAGTAAGCATGAGCCGGGCGCAGAGGGAAAGAGAGAAGCATACTCCCCGTGGAGCAGGGAGCCCAATGCAGGGCTCTATCCCAGGACCCTGAGATCACGACCTGAGCCAAAGGCAGACACTTAACCCACTGAGCCATGCAGGTGCCCCCTTAATTCTGTTCTTGTTATGAACTTTTCTGTGCCTCAATTTCCTCATCTGAGGAAATAAGGATATAATATAAATGAGAATAATGAGGATAATAATGTAAATATGTATTTATAAATATAAAGATTTCCTTGTAGGGTGTTTGTGAGGATTAAGTGAGCTCACATATCTTAAGCATTAGAACAATACCTGGCACATTGCAATTACTCTTTTAGTGGTAGCTGCCACTGCTTTGATTGTGTATTTTGGGTAATTGGTGTCATTTATTTATTTTTCTTCTTTGGTGGCACAGAGTCCCTCTGGCTGACATAAGATCTACTTTAAAAATTACCATTATGGGGTGCCTGGGTGGCTCAGTCGGTTAAGCATCTGCCTTTGGTTCAGGTCGTGATCCCGGGGTCCTGGGATCGAGCCCCACATCGGGCTCCCAGCTCAGCGGGAAGCCTGCTTCTCCCTCTCCCACTCCCCCTGCTTGTGTTCCCTCTCTCGCTGTGTCTTGCTCTGTCAAATAAATAAATAAAATCTTAAAAAAAAAAAAAAAGAAAGAAAAAGATATTCTAGTATGCCTGGGTGGTTCAGTCAGCTAAGTGTCTGCCTTCAGCTCAGGTCATGATCTAGGGGTCCTAGGATTGAGCCCCACATCAGGCTTCCTGCTCAGCATGGAGTCTGCTTCTCTCTCTCCCACTCCCCCTGCTTGTGTTCCCTCTCTCACTGTGTCTCTCTCTGTCAAATAAATAAAAAAAATTAAAAAAAAATAAAATAGGGGTGACCATTGTGCCTTCTTCCTTGGGTTGTTGTGGGGTTTCAGATCTTTCATCCATATAAAATACTTAGAAACTTATTCAGAGGTCACCTTCTCCGTGAGGCCTTCTCTCCTTCCCCTATACTCCCAATGTCTTTCTCTGCTTTATTTTTCTCTTTGCTCCTATCATCACCTGACATCTATTTTACATATTTGTTGTTTTTTATATCCTCCCTCCCATCACCACTAGAATGTGAGCTCCAGGAAGGCAGGGATTTTATCTGTCTTCCTCACCATTCTGTGTCCTTCAAAGCCGTGTTGAGAAGATCAGATGTTAGCTGTTGGTAGCCTGACTGTAGAAGCTCGGTGTTGGAGGTCACAGGGACTGAATGGGTGGCTGAAGCACTGGTGCCACGAAGGACCTCCTGGGACAGGTCCTTCTGACTTGGACTTTTTCCCCACAGGTGTCACTGGAGAAGGTACTTGGCATCACGGCCCAGAACAGCAGTGGCCTAACCTGTGACCCTAGCACAGGCCACGTGGCCTACCTAGCAGGGTGAGTGAATGGTGGGTTTTCCATATGTAGACTGCAGATAAGCTGCCTACCCCTGAGGGCTGCAGAGAGGATTCCCTGGGCCCATCCGTGTCTAGAGTAGTACCTGGCCTGTGGTGAGCACTACGAAAGCCTTATTGTGACTGCAGGTGGGAGGTGGCAGTGATTCTGGGAAAGACCCAAGCCGTGGTGTCAGACAACCTGGATTCGTGGCCCAGCTCCACCACGTGATCCTCTTGGGAGCACCTCCTTTTTCATCCATAAAACAGAACTAGTGATCTCCTCCTCTTGGGTAGTTGAGAGGACTGAAAGATATCCTCCTGCTGTTGATTACACAAATACTGATCTAGCCTGGCACTGTTCTAGGCACTGAAGGGACCCTTTCATGCCTATAGGGCAAGCCAGACCTGTAGTTATTCTTTTTTTTTTTTTTTAAAGATTTATTTATTTATTTTGAAAGAGTGAGAATGAGAGAGAGAGAGAGAGAGAGCACATGAGAGGGGGGAGGGTCAGAGGGAGAAGCAGACTCCCTGCTGAGCAGGGAGCCCGATGCGGGACTCGATCCCGGGACTCCAGGATCATGACCTGAGCCGAAGGCAGTCGCTTAACCAACTGAGCCACCCAGGCGCCCCTCAGACCTGTAGTTATTCTTAATGAACTGTATCCGTTATTCAGTCTTTGGGATGCAGTCCAGGATAGAGGACAGGGGTGGGCTCTTGAATCTGACAGCGTATGGATTCATATCCCCACTCTGTCCCTGACCAGCTGGCTTGCCCTGGGCAAAGGATTTTTCCCTCTCTGGGCTGCAAGTTTCCTCATCTCTAAAAGCGGACTGAGATGTCCGACTTCACCTGGCAGTTATGAGGATTTAAAGAGATTATGCCCATAAAGTCTTTATTATTCATTAGCCCAGGGTCTGACAGAATAGTTACCACAGAGGAAGTGTTGGTTTCTGTTTAAGGATATATTATTTAATAATGTGCAGTGCCCTAGAATTCTCAGCATAGATACCTGGAGGGGGAGGAGAGACTCTTCTGTTCAGAGGGAGCCTTATTTATGTTTGGGCTCTTGTATTGGGAATGGAATCATCCCTGGACCCTAGTACGTCCTTTAGTTTGGGCACATTTTCCTCTTTCTCCCCAGCTGTGTGGTGGTGATTTTGAATCCCAAGGAGAACAAGCAGCAGCACATTTTTAACACTGCCAGGTAGGCTGGGCCCTGGGCTTTGGGTAGGGGTGGGACCAGGGTCCTGGCACCTACCCCCTTCCCCACATTGCTTGGAAGCTTGTAGGT